TAGGAAGAAAATTAACTCTATCCCAGCCAAAACCAGGATGGAAGATTGGAGAAGTAAAACAAGATAAACCACTTTTGGAGATGTGTGGGAAAACCATTATTTGGCGGCGCAGCTTTCTAACAAAACACATCTGTGTCCTGGAACTTACATCACCAGTTAATGAATGACACAGCTTTCACAATGAATTTGTGCTCGTTCTCATCTATTTGTTGAGTTTACCTTATGGTCTTACACTTCAAAGTTATTCAGAGCAGAGGTAATCTTTTTCATCGATGACTAAGTACTTAGCTAACTGGGATTGCAGGAAGGCTTTTAAGCCCTATGAAATACAACTAATAAATCCACTCATTTATCTGCTGCATTAGAACTCCACTTACAAGCCTCATACTACAAAGAAAGAAAAGCACCACTAAACCCACCCACCACCCACCCACATGCACTAACTTTCCCCTTTCATCTCAAATTGCCCAAATACTAGGAATTACATGTGAACTTACATCAGAAGACTAGTAAGGTTATGAAGTTAATAAGAGTTAGGTATTTCCAGAATTAACATATCTGCTACCTAAATTCATGCCCATTGCACACAGTCCTTAACTCTTTTTTTTTTTTTTTTTCTCCCAGTGCTTTTTGAATTAGTCATATATAAATGTCCCAACTGTCACACAAAAGCTCACAAGGAAATTTATAATGCTTTCTTCAGGGATGGACTTAAATTACATGCAATGAATAGTACATTAGATCGCAAACTATACAGTGAGAGTTACGGGCATATAGGTCTGGCTGGAATTTCAAGAGGTGGTACACTGTTCCCTGCACTGTGGTTCAACCAAAAACCCCCATATGACTCTACTGAAAAATAAAAAAAAAAACCCAATGAATATTGATCACTGGTGGAGCATCATTCATCCACCCTGCTCAATAAATGAAGCAGAAATCCTAAAAGGAAATCAGCACATTAACACATAACTGAAGTCTATTATAAGGCATATACACACAGGAAGACAAATTAAGACTGTGAAAGCTATGCCTTGGAGTATCTTAATATGCAATATTACTGTTCTTTTTTAATGATTTTCCATTTTAGTATTCAACACACAACCAAAGCATGTCAGAATGTGAACAAAATCAGGCAGTCATAATACCATGTGTTATGAGATAACATGCTTTATAGGCTAATTAAAGCTGGGCTAACATAAAGAAAGCAATACATCACCTTACCTGGCGTATAAAGCAAGACATCTATTGCCTGTGGAAATGTCTCACCAGCTGAGGGGTTGATCTTGTGCCTTAATGTCTCTGAAGTTGTTTTGGGGACCATCATAGGCACTAAAATAGGTTTTTAAAAGGTCATGAAGTGCACACTTAAGCCTGAAATAGATCTATAATTCTTATGAAATTACAATTCTGCACCATTTACTCACATTTCTCACTTTTCTTTCCCTCTAGCCTTAGCTGACTAGGAGAGCCCAAACACCATTTGTATGAATTCTGGTAGCAGAAGCATGCATACAACACCCAAGCAGTCTGAACAACCAAAACAAAAACACAGCAGCCAACACCAAGACAGACATGCCAACTAAGGTTCTGATGCACAAAAAAAAAAAAAAAAAAAGAAAAAAAAAGAAAAAAGAAAAAAACCCAAACCCCTAAGCTTTCTATTAATACCATTTAATAAACTATGTCTGTGAAAGTGCAATCAGACTAACGTCTTTTTATATTTCTACAGATAATCAGTTTGAAAACCGGAATATAAAGAGCTGAGACAGATGATGTAACTACAGCAGACTTTGTAGCACTGCTATGTGACTGACCTTCATTTTTCATTCTGTCAAAATAAGACAGTTTAGAGGCTGCATATATGGTTTTGGAGGACTGCAGGGCACCAACCACAGCATCCATCAGGAGAACATTTGTCAGTGCTTGCTGAATATACTGAGGATCCTAAAGACAAAAGTCTTACTATAGTTTATCTATTGCTCATTATTCTTACAAGTCTCAATGTTCAACAATCACAATGCATGTCATGTGTAGCACAAGCAGTAGCCAGTTGCTGCCCTGCAGCATAATTCATACTACTTACAGTCAAACCTCACTCCCACACCGCATGTTCCACTCCCAAGCAAGGTCATGGAGCAGGGAGCCAGGAGCCAACATTAATTCATTACACTAAAAGAAGTATCTCAGATCTGGCACAATCTTGATACAGGCTGCGCATACAAAACCACATGAACGGCACTGATGGAAAACATACAGCAGACATAGGGTGGATACACCCATTTTCAGGCTGAGTCTTTCTTCACGGGAGGGGAATACACATTATGCTTCATCTTGTCTAAAATGATTCAAATCCTTCCCAAAGAACCACCAAGCTACATTTTCACTATTAAATTCAGCAGTCATGAAGAATTACATGGTTTAAACAGAAACCCTGCTTGCACGATCCTTTCTCTCAAGGTTCCTGTGGCAGAAGAATACATCTTGCTCTATTCATTGAAAGGATCTATAGCCACCAGGGTTCCAGCATGGCAAAACTCTTTCTAGGCATTATATTTTGAAGCAATGTGGGGAAAATTTTCTGTTAGTTTGGATCACTATTTTCATATGTTGTGAACTTAAGAAACTATTTCACAGAACTAGTGAACAAATTAAAAGTTCCACGCCAACAGATGAGAAAAAATATTACAAATTTTTAAATGTAATCTTTTTTCTTTTTTGTATCATTCCAGAAGTATTATATTTAGAAGTAACAACAAAAATAAAAATTTACTACTTAACTGTTGTTTGCTGAAACCCAGAAATTCTAAGATTGATGCATGAGTTATTTAGAACAGAGACAGAAAGCACATACTTCATACTTATTTGGTTAGAAATTCCCATATTTATACCTTGTGATCATCCGCCATTTTCTTTCCAGCCCACATTTCTTTCACTATCAGGTACCAGAGATCACACTCAGTTTTAAGGTTAGCTTCAAAGACTTGTTTTTTAGATAATGTTTTAATCCTCAGAGTAGGTATTCTCAAAAGAAGGAAAGCTACAGTCGTGCTCTTAACATCCTGCCAATATAGGGAAACAAAGAAAGCAAGGAAGATACACCATGCAATCACAGATAAGGCGCAGTACGCATCTTACAGGGCAGTTTTCCCTATTGATAACTACAGGTAATGATTTCAATTGTCCATACACACCATTAAGCAGAGATGGTTTTATGAAAATGTAGGTTTCAAACAACATCACACACAACACTCACTACACAGTGCGTACAAGCTGGCTCGCTGACACCACAGTCAAATAAGCACACTTAATGCCCATGTTACTAAACTTCTCCAGCTCTATATGCCATGTGCTGTGCTTTGCACCTTCCTGTACATCTAGAGGTTATGACCTCTAGATTTTTATTCTATGTCATCCTAGCACCTAGCAAAACTTACTACATCAGCTCTGCAATTCTTGGTCCAAAGACCCAGAATTTTATCTAATCACTCATAAGTTACTGACTTCAGAGGTGTTTCCTACACTCCTCACTGAAACTTTGAGACAGATCTCTGCAGAATGGAACATGGTCTATATCCTTAGGCATGCAAGAGAACAAGAAGTTACTCGATGCTCACCTCTATATCCCTGAAAGCAGCAATCTGGACATAGCCAGGATGTCCTCCTTCAGTCAGAAGGAACAAGCGCTTTTGGGTCAGTGCTATTTTTCCTACACCATAGTTAGTTTTAACTGAGCAAGATAACTTGTAGACACATTCGTTTTTATCTAGGTGCTCTATTACTGTTGGTGGCAGATTCACCTCTTGAGCTTCTGCTTCAGTTTCTTTCCAGTAGTTGTAGAAATCTCTGAATGTTTCAGGATCTATTTGTTTCTGATGTCCTAAAAAATTTTTAAAACTTGTTTACTGTGAGAAACACAAATTTGCACAGAAAGATAGCTTTAAAAGATACTAACTTTCAAATTGTGCCCCTAACAGCATAATGGGTAAGTGAGGTGCAAAAACTACAAAAAATAGGCCTGGAAAACAGTTAAGAGACAAAACTGTTCCGAGGTAGAAAGATTCCTCTGCAGTTAGCCTAGGCCATAGGTCCCATGCATCTGGCATCCCCTCTTCCACCCTACTGTACAAAGGGAGGCAGCAAACACTGTGCCAGTCTTGCTTTTTAAAATTCATGCCAAAAATCCAGTCAGCCAATGGGAAAGGCCCTGTACTTCCCTACTGAACTGAATACTTTTCATTACGACTTTCCAGTTCTTTATTCTATTGAATGCTACTATATCACATACTTACCAACCTGGGATAAAAGCTAAAGTTGTAACAGTTAAAGACTTCAACAATAGGTATTCTAAGTAATTAATTATTCTAAGAATTCAAGTGTGTGGACAGCAGAATCTCAAACACACACAAATTCTTGCAAGATGTATGCTACCTCTGGCTTCAAGAAAGCCTTGCTATAGTCTTGCTATTTTGACCAATGTTTAATCCTTTGTGGCCACAAAATGAAGTTACCTAGTTACCAGAGTAACTAGGCACAGAAAGAGAACTGAATAGTATTTTATAAAAGCACTCTCAAATTGTGTTTTTAGAAATCAATCACAAGATTCAGATCTCATTCAGAAGAGAAGAAAGTTCTCTCAAATATAAACGTAACCTCTCCTTCTGCTATGACAACCATCCAAGAGGAAATTAACTGTAGCTACTTGAATTCTGGATTTTGTTAGTTTAACAGATTGCCACCTTGCCACATTACCTAGTGGTTTTACAACACAGAGTTATTTTCCATTAGCAACTAGGACAGTCTTGTATTCACTCTACTCATAATCTAAGCCAAAGCAGAACTGCACACCATCAGATAACAAAACTACCTCACCTACGCAACCTGAAAAATTGTAAATTGTGTGCCCAAATATAAGTAGATTCCTTGTCTTTATTGTGGATGCAAGTATAGACATACTTGTATACATTAAATCTATTCTCCATAATTATCCTAATTAAATAAAATTGTCCATAAAGCTCACATATTGTGAGTTTTTAGAGGCTCAGAAAATGTTGAATAATAATTAAAAAGAAAACCAACTGGAGACAAAAATTTTATGGTCACTAAAAACGTATCTTATACTCACCTACTGTTAGGGCATCAAATAACCGATGTATAGTGTCTATATCTTTGACAATCCCAGATTCCTGGATTCGCTTCACAAAATCATCCAGTTGCATGTGTGTTTTTGGCAATTCAAAGTTTTTTACGTGGTCATCTATTTTCATAACTTCTCTTTGTTTTTCCATCACTCGACTTATCAGCTTCTTCAGCTCAGGTTTGCGGTCTGCTTGAGAACGCTCAGAAGGAGGCATGGTTTCCACTATTTTTCTTACAAGATCAGTAGGGAAAATTCTTAAGTCTGTTTTATCTAGGTTCTGAAAGTCAGAAAGTGCATTTAGTAGTTTCCCTTGCATCAAGCTAATAAGCCCCCGGAGGTAGAAGTACCTTGCCAGCAATGCTGAGTTATCAGGTGGTAATGTATTTATAGCTTTGCTGAGATGGTTGAAGAAATCTGTATAGTAGGAATGAACACACTGGAACATCAGAGGAAAGTGAATTTCCGGGATTTTGAACGTACTAACTGATTTGGAGGGCATTTTTACAGCTAAAAACAAAACAAAAAAGTACATTGATTAGCATAAGCAGTGAGTAAAAGTGCGAGTATCTTCACAACCAGCCATACTACAAACACCAAAAAGAATCTCCATCACAGCAACAAGCAATTACGTCACATGAAATTCAAGTAGATTACAGTTGTGCTGGGGATGTGAATATATTTCGATGTCCATCATCCTTATTATCAGAATATTCCCTCATCTGATAATCTGATAATTCTGGGAAAGGGAAAAAAAAAAAAAAACAACCAAACCCTAAGCCTACATATAAAGGTAGTGGAGGGGAACTGGACATAAGGTGGGTGAGGACTGAACGTGGTAAATGACTCAGGAAGCAATGCTACAGTATCAATCCTATTGTGACTAATCAGTCTTTTGTGGTACAGCAAAACTTACAGCAGGCTACAAACTGATTTAATATGCAAGGAGGAGCACAGACAGGCCTCAGCTCAAAATGATGCAGCTCACCATTTCTTTCCAGCATCTGACACTGTTTCTGTGAAAATTGTTCAGTCATGTCACCCATAAGGACAACAGAAAATGCACTGTATTCGTTCAACACATTTTGCCCTTACCAACGCCTGTTTCTATTTTTCGAAGTGAGGAATTTCTAGTAGGGCCCTCTGGCAGCTTGATATCTTGCAGATTAGGCATACTGATTACCATACGCTTACTAATCATGTGCTGTGGATTAAATTGTTTAGAAGCCATTTTCTCCATAGTCAGTCTTCTCGGTGTATGAAACATCAAGTTTAATCTGAGAAAAATAAAAATAATAAAAAAATATAACTAGTTTTAAAATTCAGTATACATACACACCAAATTACTACTTGATGTTATTGTTTTTCTGTATAATAGTATTAAATTACAATTATAGTACCAATTTACAACTTCAACAGCCATGGCTAGACATGTTCATATCACCCTTTTACAGTAATCTTAATACAATGGCCTATCAATTAGTCATAATCTTATTCATAGATGACCTGATCCCACACCAATAGAGTCAAATGGACTTTTATCATGGATATCAACAGAAGATTCAGAACCAGAATAAGGAATGTGAAAACTTTACCTATCCTCTTCAGACTGAGTACTCAACTCAAGGTGAGCGAAAGCGTCCATCTTTCTGTTCAGACGAGCTTTAAGAAAAGAGTGAAACATGTAGGTCTCTAAAACCTGTGAGACACAAACTGGTTAACTGTGGAACATTTACAAATTACTTTTTTTTTTTTTTTTAGCATGTTTTGCTCATTTTTATTACCGTTACATATGCAAAGCTGAGAAATTCCAATTTAGCAATCACAAACCCCAAAATATTTGAAAGTTTCAACAACAGAAAACTAACTCTGTTTCCATTCACCTTCTGTACTTTCATGATATTTGCTTAGTGGCAAACGGTAATCTCAGACCACCCTCCAAAAGATGAAACCAAACAAAAAAGAGAAATACTGAGCAAAATAGAGAGTTTTAGCTACTGAAGTTTAGCAGTGTATTTTCTGCCTATAACTAAGTGCTGATAATATTGTCTGTGGTTTGGAATAAGACGTTTGGGGCACTGGAAATGAACATTATGTCATCAAACTGAAAAGACAAGTGAGTCATCTTTTCTCCCAGTAACCCCCAAAATTGTTCCCTGCTCAGGCAATTATAATGGTATCATCCAGCAATAATTTCTAAAAAGTCAAATTGCTACTTTTAGCATAGAGGACACCACAAAAAATGCCAAGTGTGAATTAAAAAAGTCAAAGCTACCATCTCTACTACTTATTTGCTACTACTGCAAATTAAAACAAGATGGAAGCTAGGATTTGAGGCAATACAGTGTGTGTACTATATAAATGTTAGTTCTAGCACAGGGCTCTTAGTATTGTTTGAAATAAACAATTCAGAAAACTAACCTGTTCAGAAAATCAAATGCAAACTTCATCAGGAGACAATATTGTTATTACCAGGATCCCTACCTTTATGTTTATACAACCTCCACCCTTTACAAACTTACTAACAGAAAGACAGTTGTATCTTTGTATGTAACTATGAAAAATTACTTTGATGAATTATATATCCCAGAGGCTTGCCTAAACTATTCTTATTAGTCCTGGACTTTATCACAGGAAAAACAAACAAACAAACAAACAAGCAAACAAAAAAACCCCACCCCAAAAAAACCCCAAAACAAAACCCACACCACCAACCCAAAAACCCCACTGATCAGGAATCAGTGTATTTCTATGATAAAATGATTCTAAAAAGCAAATGAGAAAGATTCATGAGTAATCTAGGTACTCTGAAATTAATGGAAACATTTCACCAACAAATACGTCATTCTTATTCAAGATGCCTCTTATCAATCCATTTGCAATGTATTCTGTAAAATGGCATCTACAAAAGCATTAAGGTTTCTGCTTTTAAGTATTTCTCCAGCAGATGGCATATTTTGTTGGCAATTGTATGTACAAGAGGTGACAAGCTGCAGGAACTGAAATGGTCCTTTCTAATGGTTTTTGGAGTTCTCTTAATGTAGTTCTAGATACCACTAGTAACTACTCCGTATTGTGTTATCTTCTAAGATGTACCTGAAAGCAAACCTGACACTATGTTACTTAGTATTTGAGTCAACTGCTCAAAGCTCTTCTTAAGCGTGCACTTCTGCATTCTAAATTAATTTTAAATTTCAATTCATAAAATTGCCACTATTTCATTTATAGACTTTGAAACTGCTACTGAAAATATTTTAATTATTTCTATTCATCTGAAATCCTCGTCAGGACATTTCCAATTAGTTTCTCTCTTGATGACATATTCATAGGTTCTTTTAATTTTTTCCTTTTTGTTTGTTTGTTTTTAAGAAAGTTTGCTAGCGTTACAAGTTTTATCCAACAAGCATTATTTCCTATTTAGGATTCATCAGTTTGTTATCTTTGAATTGCCAGATATTCCGCCAAGTTTGGCAACTACCGCTTAAGTAAAATGAGATACTCTTCTGATCATTTCCTTCACACACTGACGTCTCCTTTAAACGGATGTTCAGAAGCTTTTCTTATCATATGTTTGAAGTAGGAAACAGAACAGGAAGCAAAAAAGGTGTTTTCAACCACGGTCTGTTGATGTTAGTGAGGAGATCTTTTTGCCAGGCGTAAAACAGTTACTACAGAGAGCCAACTGCCAAGTTCTAGCAGCAAAGGAAGCCTCTGCAACTTTCACATGCACCCACAGAACATAATTAAAAGCCAATGTAAAATGGCAAATGCACTTTCTTGCATTCCTTGTTAAACCTTTACTTTGACCCACAGGTTTGTTAAACAAGCTACAGTATCACAAAAAAAAGTGAAGACACAAATCAGTAATATTTTACTTTTGAGAAGCTTAAAGAACAGCACAACATGTCTTACAGTAGGTTAGAATAAGAACCTACTTAATAAAGTATCTGTTAAAAACTAGTATGTAACTTGCATCAAAGGGTGCAAGAAGCTGAGAGGTATTTTTTTTATATATATATA